CTCCTTTAAGAGCTGTAGGTGTAGATTGATCTAATGAACCCAGAAAATGCACCGAGCACATGGGCTGCCTCCACCAGGCTGCGTGGAGGTGGCTGTGTGAAAGTTTGCCTGACTAGAGTCAAAACCATTGAGCCATTCAGGAACAATGGCTCAGACCCCAAACCCAGAGATATGTCTGCAGAGACTTGGTGGTTCTGGGAAGACAACTTTTGGTGAAGACGAAGGATGGGGTGGCTGAACAGGTGACTTCTTAGATGACGCAGAAAATCAGGGTTTCTTAACCCTACAAGAAGAGCAGCTCCTGAGAGGGACAGAAAGAAGGCCTAGCAAACAACGCGGCAGTTTTCTGTGGATGGGAGCCCCTTCGCTGTTGACGGCCAACGTGAAGGCACAAACGCAGAGGACTCTTGTGAGGAGCCCGCAGAGGCAGCAGTGAAACATGCTCTCCGGTGATGATCAGTGAAAACAAAAAGGGAGGCACCTCAGAACAGTATTTATGGCCTTAATGCCATTAAGCTGGACCTTGGAGTATGGCGGAGGGGCAAGGAAGGAGGAGATGGGGAGCAGGGCATGAGCCCCGGGGCTGTGCCAGACACTGGGTGAGGTACTTGCCAGCAGTTGTCTCATCTAATTCTCACCCAAAGAGCGCTTAGCACATGTCCGCTAAATGTTAGATATTATTATTATTAGCATCACTATTTTCTTTTATTTCATATCTCAAGCCTCAACTAGAACATGACCTCTTTAGGGCAGCCTTTCCTTAACTCCCAAACTATATTGGGCTTTCTTTACATGATCTCACAAATCCCTGTAATTCTCACAATTGTAATCAAACGGTCTGTGTGTCTAGTGTCTCGCCTACTAGACTCTAATTTCCACGAGGGCAGGAACATTATCTGCCCTGCTCAGGATCCTCAGGGCCCAGCGCCTGCCTGGCACACAGCAGGCACTCCACGCAGAAGTTCGGAGCCAGTGCCCGCAATGTCGGAGGTGAGGAAGGGGCCGCAGAAAGCAGCTAGTGCCACTCTTCTACACAGACGGGGAAACTGACACCAGGGAGGCACATGGACTTACCCCAGGTCATACGACCAGGAGTGGAGGACTCAGGCAGAAACAGGGCCCTGACGCCACAGGCGGCAGAGCCTGGAAGCCACCTTCAGCCCTCACACCCCAGCCCTGCCCCCCACGAGGAAACCACACAGGCTCATTTGCCTAGGTCAACAACAGCAGCAAGACGACTCCAGAGGACACGAAAATGAAAAGCACACCACTCCCTCCCGACCCCACCCTCCTGCCCCCCGCACTGTTGTGCGTTCGGGCAGCTTCCACTGTTGGTGTGCATGGACTTCTTGCCTATGAGATCCTACGGAGTGTCATGGTGACAGCTCAACAGCCACGCTGAGCATCAGGTAACTCTGGTGAGCAAGCCACCAAGTCACTAGTCAGACCCTGTGGGCCGGGGCAGTCAGTGCTCTGGTAGGAGGCATGGTGGGGACAGAAGGAGGGGTGCTCAGTGACGTGGAGTGAGGAGGGGGGTTGGAGAAGACTTCAAAGGTGAGGAAGTTTGAGCTGGACATCCAAGGATGGATTCATGATCCACCAGGCAGGTAGAGGAAGTGAAGGGCAATGTGGGGGGAAAAGGAACAGCACGTGCAAAGGCACAGGGGTTTTCCCGAGCTTCAGGAGATGGAGCACGCAGGGTGGACCTGGGCTGGGTGGTGGGAGGCCTTGCTAGCCATGCTAGGAGGTATGGGCCGTCTCTGGAGGGCAATGGCTGCTCGGAAGGGTTTGTAGTTGAAATGTGACTTGCTCAGATTTGTTGTCTTACATCACCATGGCAGCAGGAGAGAGGCTGGACTGGGAGTGGGGGGAGGCTGGAGGCCGGAGGCAGGAGTCTCGCACTGAGGCCAAACTCTTAAGTCCAAAGCCTGGTATCCCAATTGGTAGACTCAAGAAGGACCCAGTGTCTGCTCTGTGCCACCAAAGTCACCTAATTCTTCCCATTTATCGGCCCCACCCTCCTACTGGGTACACCTTGCTCCAGCTATATCTCACTTATCCAGAAGTCACTTAACTGATAACCCCAACTATCCAGAACCTAGCTGCTAGCCTAGAAGCAAACAGAAAAGACCTGTGGACAGCCACAACTCATGCCTCAAAAGTCATGCCTTGCAGAGCATGCACTTCACACCCAAGGGCACATGCAGGCTGCCACTCAGGCTTGGTCATCTCTGGTCAAGAGTTGATGCCAGAGTCAGCCCAGCTCTGACACTTTCCAGCAGTGTGGCCTTGGCCCTCAGTTTCCTCATGCGTAAAATGGGGGCAATAGTTGTGGCTTCCTCAGAATGTGGCTGTGAAGATTAAAGGACATGAAGTACTTAACCCAGTGGCCAACACCATGAAATTATAGCTAATGGGGAAAAGGGCACAAAGAAAGGTGAAAGAAAAAGGGCAGAAAATGTGTCCTGAGCAGACTCAAGCTACAAAAGAGAATGGCAGGTAGAGCCATGTGATAGTTTCAAGAAATTACCAAGTCAGACACAATGTGCTACATTTATAAAGGCAAGCAACACATTTTACAAAGATTCCCTTTAAAACTGGATACATTGAAAAGTTTTGGTGTTTAGAAGGTAGAGCTACTGGAAAAATTATGCACGCAAATTCACTTATGGGAATGGCATAATTCTGTGTGTACCTGTGTACACCTAAAGTGTCCCCCAAAATTTGTAAAACATACATCATGTTTAATAGACTCTAAGATGCCACCAATTCTAAGATGCACCATTATTTTGTGTGCCACTAAGAAAGAAATATTGCTGTTATAATGGTAAGATGCATCTTGATTTCAGAGTTGTGAAAATATGTACATCTTCAAGTCGTTGGAATATCTTAATGTGCAATATACATTTGCTATGAAAGTGTCCCATCTCCCCCTTGGGTGGAAGTCAGAGCAGTCTTTCCTCCCCACCCTCCCACCCCTTTATGCCAGAGGCTCAAAATTCAAACTTAACACCTCTCCCTTGACCTGCTGGTAATCACTCTATCTTGCCCCTCCAGAAGCTTCCTCTCTTAAGAAGCTGATCCAGGCTTTCGGCCCACCGACAGCTGAGCCAAACAAGTCTTCTGGTTCACAGGGGTCCACCAGGGCCACCAGCTCAGCCCCTTAGCATGAGCCTCTTTGAACGAAGGCCAAGTTTGCACAGCTTGAGTGCTCAGCTGAACCCAAGCTGGGGTCTCCAACTCCAGGCTGCCCAGGCCAAAAGGCTACTGGCTCTCCTCCTCTTCCACTTTTCAGCCAGCAGACCCATGATCAATGACTCAGCTGGGACTGTGGAGCAGCCTCCAACAGCCAGCCTCCTCCACAGCCTCTACTGTGGAGCCCCCTCCTCATCACCCCTCCAGTAATCCCAGACATTTTTCACCCAGTACCACCTACTATTCTTGAAAGAAACAAAAAGGGGTGCATGGGAGGGAGGGAGGGCAGGCAGGGGAGGCAGAGATGGTCAGCTACCATTGCAGCTTGGGGAGAGAAGATAATTAACCAGCCCCCACCTAAACTGGACATAAGGGAGAGGGATTTCTTAAAACTCCAATGTGGCCCAGAACCCAGAGACTCAAGCCTTTTTGCCCCACAGTCCTGGCTAGCTATGCTTCACAAAGCAGGGGAGGGTATCCTGAAGCAGGAAGAGAGAGCTTGACCACCTGAAGCTGTCTTCTTTATCTTCCATAGACCCACACCACCCTGGCCATGCTAAGGAAGCAGGTAAGCCCTTGACACCCACTCTCCTGTTCTGTAAACACCCAGCGAGCAGCTCCCATGTGCAGCCGCTCTCATCACGATTTTCTTATTTGATCTTCCCACAGCTCTGTGAGCTTGCTTTTAGAGCCCATTTTACAGATAGGGAAACAGGCTGGGAGAGGGGCAGTAAGATGCTCAAGGTCACACAGCTGGGCCTGGCTGGAACTCAGGTCTCCTTTCCACAGCACACCAGGTTCCCAAGCAACGGCTCCAGGGTCATCACTGAAGGAGCTTATTCAAATTTTAGAAAAATACAGATTCCAGATCCCACCCCTGGGATCTGTGCTGTAGGGCTGTGCCTGGAGAATGTGTGTTTTAACAAGCTCTGGGAACCAGTGCCTTACCAAGAAAGTGTGGATGGGAAGATACAGTGACCACGGGAGAGAGGAAGAGAAGGGCAATCCAAGAAGGGCTCTTCAAGGCAGATCTTGCCTACTTTTAGCCCTCATTTTGCCTAAACCCACCCCTCCTCTCTGCACGAGGCTTGTGAGCTCACTTGATACCACATCCTGCTGCTTTCATCGTGCCTTCCTTTTCCCTCTGAACATCTCCTTCCTCCTACTGACCTGAACTTCTTGCTTATTTACCCCAGGCCTGGGATGGGCCAGCCCGCACGCGCAGGCGCACGCACACACAGTCACGCAGGGACACCCAGGGTGTAAACACGGATCCTGTGACAGCGTCAAGCGCGTAGTTCTCTAGAGGAGCAGCCCCTGTCTGGGGCCCACGCTCGCTAGCAGGGGACGGGCTGAGGCCGGATGGAGGGCGCCTTAGGCAGGCCCTACGACTCCCAGGTCCTGATGGCAAAGGACTCTTGATGCCAACACTCACCGAGAGAGTTCTCAGGCGGAGGGAACTTGACCCCACGACACAGGGTGGCCTGTGAAGGAGGCAGGAGACTGCAGCCGCTCGCGGACCGCACAGAGGCGTCCAGCAGTGGCTTCCTGGATAACCATGGACGGTCTCTGGGACGCCCCTTCTGTCTCTGGGATTATTGGGAACGCGAGTTTGCGGACCCCGTGCCTGGGCAGTGGACCGGATCCACGGAGCCGGAAGACAGCAGGATCTGTCCAGCCTACCCGCTGCGGCCGCTGCCCTCAGAGCCCACTGCTCCCCGACGGTCCCCAGCGCGCTCCGGCTCTGCCTTGAGCCCCCGCGCGCGCCCTCGGCGCCCTCCCGCCCCGGCCGCCCGGCCACACACCTGCAGTCCCCGCCGGGCGCCGAGCCCCTCTCCAGCGGCGGCTCCCTTCACTTCGGGGTCCGGTCGCGACCCCCGTGCCCGGGCTGAGGCCGCACCGCGAGTCCCAGCATCTGCCCAGGCTCCGGTCCAAGGGCGGGCTGGGGGCGGGGCCGGGGCGGGGCCATTCCGGGGGCGGGGCCGGGCGGGGCCGGCGGCCCAGCCGGCCTCTCACGCCTCCTGGTGGCCGGGCAGTGTCGGCGAGGGGCCGGCCCGGCCGGTGCATCTCTGAGTCGCGCCTGAGCCCGCAGAGCGTCTGAGAAGCAGCCCCCCAGCTCTGAGGCCGTCTGCCCTCGGAAGGAACAGGCCCTGGCGAGTGGGCGGCCGCGGGCAGAGGGACGCCAGCACCGAGCACCTGCGACCCCCCAGAAGTCAGGGGCAGTTGTCCAGGGGAGCGGAAGCGTGGCGTTGGCCCCTCAGGACGGGTGGGCGGAGCAGGAGAGAGGCTTGGGGTGGGGGCTTCGGGGAAGGAGGAGAAAGGGGAAGCTCGGCGAGCTGCTTCCTTCTCTCGCTGCGACCCAGCGCCCCACTTCCTCCTACTACTTCTATTTTCTTTGGGTGCTCTTAGCCTTTAAAATGCCTGCACCCCTGCTGTGCAGACGGGCGCCTTGAGCCCCACCCTTCTGCAGAAGCCTTCCTCGTCATGCCAGCCAATCCAGACTTTCAGCACTGCACCTCCAGCCTCTGGTCTGAGTTTCTCACCTTCCTTGGCCGGTGGCTATCGCTTCAGCCGTTTCTAGCCTCTGAAGCGGGGACGACTCTGGTCGTCTCCAGAGTCAAGGCACTCTTCTTGCCTCCCTCTTCCTCCCCACAGACGACGTAGCAGATGTTGTATACCAAGAGTTGGAAGAACTTGTCACGGAATCCTGGAAGTCACTGCGTTTCCCTGTGCCCCAGTTTCCTCATTTACAAAATGACGATCAGAAAACTGGCTCCTGCGCAGGCAGCCCTTGCAATGAAAGAATAGCACTTTATTTCAGTGTTAACAAAGGGGCAGGCTGAAATTTCCACTTCCACTATTGAATGGGACTCTGTGGCACAGTATCTGGTAGAGCCGCTCAGAATTGGCCACAAGGTCGTACGTTATTGTTAATCAAAAACCACAGCCCTACCTGAGGCTTTGAGAGATGTGAACACCAATGACTTCTTTTCCTGACTCCCTAAATACCAAGAAAAGCAACTTCCCCAAAGGCAAAGAAACAGAAAGTCCCCTTGGGTGAACGCGGAGGACTGGTTCCGGCTGCAGTTAGAGATGGAAAAGCGCTCAGAACTCAGCTTGTACTTCTCCTACTCCTCATCCACCACCTGAACCCCCACCTGCCACCATGTCACAGACAAGGAACCAGTGGCACGACGGACTGTGAGAGGACACGCCGAAGTTCATGCGACTTGATAAGGGTGGGCAAGGACTCTGGTCTCCTCAGTCTCTACTTTTTCCACCACAGAAACGAGAAGGGAGAAGATGGAGACAGCCCAGAGGTGGCCGGGGTGGGGAGGAAGGGAAAGAACTGCCCTGGAATCAGGCATTGAGTAGTAAGAATGATACCGTGTGTGCCAGATTGACATGTTGGATTATGAGAGCACTTTGAAAGGTAAAAAAATGCTGGAGAAGTTATGGCATCCTTGGCTTCTTCCATGTCCTTAGTATTCCTAAGATGGAGGAAAGCTGAAACTGTAGCCTGTTAGAGCTCACCACCAGGGAGTTGAGCATCCCATGAAGCCCACTGGTCCCATCCCGCGTCCCCTGAGAGGTGGGCATTCTCTTCTCTGCCAGCAGGTGTGACCCAGATATTGAGCATGTATGTTATTCCCCCTCATGCGGCTCCACCTGTGTCTTCCTGTCCCAAGAGGGCAGACCACCAATCTGGAGATCTGACCAGCACCTGACACCTACTGGCCAGAACTAAGAACTACAGCCACCCAGGCACATTTCTTCCCCCCTCTTCCACTCCCACCTCCCCACAGCAGCTGGTAAGACTCAAAGGTGCCTCTGTCACTCATGTGGCGTCTGATTACGCACCACATTGTACAGCTCTGTTGTTGCTTCATTTGAAAATATATGTCTGTTTGTAATCTCTCTCTTTCTCTTCTCTGTTTTCAAAGAGGAGTGTACCCCTGTCTCCTCTTCCTCATCTTACATTTATTCCTCAATGCTCTGAAAAAATCACCAAGGAAACCCCAAATGCCAAATCCAATGGCCTCATGTCCGTACCTCATGCAGCATTTGATGCTACCCCTCCTTGCGAATTACCTGCTTGACTTACCCTCCTCCAACTTGGACCAATAATTGTGTTTTCTTTTTGTGGCTTCATTTTCTTCATCATTTCTGAAACATTGGAATGCATAAGGTTTTATTTGAGGCTGCCTCTCTGCTCCCTGGGCAATCTCATCCATTCCCATCATACGGATCCCTTCCAAATCTGTAGCCTAGACTTCTCTCTTGAGCTCCAGATCTAGAAATCTAAGTGCTTACTGCACATCTGTACCTGGATATCCAAAGGCACCTTAATCACTCCATGTCCTGAAATGAATTCCTTGTCTTTCCCCAAACTCCTTCTCTTGCCTTCCCTAACTCGGCTAACATCTTTACTATCCACCCCGTTTCAACGCTAGAAACCTTGCTATACAAGTAACATATCCAAGAGGACTCCTACAACCCAAAAATAAAGAAGACAAGCAATCTAATTTTTAAATGGGCCAAAGACTTGGACAGACACTTCACAAAAGAAGATGTACAAATGGCCAATGAGCTCATGAAAAGAGTTACCACTTTACAGCAATTGGAATAGCTAAAATTAAGACTGACAACACCAAATGTTGGCAAGGATGTGGAGCAACTGAAACTCGTATATTGCTTGTGGCAGTGTAGAATGGCACAACTGCTTTGGCAAACTGATTGGTAGCATGTAATAAAATTAAATATACATCTCCCTGTGACCCAACCATTCCACTCTTAGATATATATCCAGGATGAATGAATTTATATGTCCACACAGAAACATATATATGAATGATTATAACAGCTTTATTCGTAATAGCCCCAAACTGGAAACAACCCAATATCTATTAATAGTAGAATGGATAAAAAAAAATTGTGGTATACTCATATAGTGGAATGCTATCCAGCAATAAAAAGGAAGAAATTACTGATACATGTATCAACGTGGATGAATTTCACAAACGTTATGTTGAGCAAAAGAAGCCAGAGAAGCAAAAGAAGATATACTGCATGATTCCATTTATATGATGTTCAAGAACCAGCAAACTAATCTATAGTGATAGGCATCAGAATGGGGGTTATCTTGGGGGAGGGGAGCAATTTAACTGGAAAGGGAACATGGGTGAACTTTCTGGGGTGATAGATATGTTTTCTATCTTAATCTAGGTGGTGGTCACATGGTGTGTGCATATGAAAAAGTTGTTGAGATATTCACTTAAAAGTTGCATATTCTGCTCTTTGTAAATGATACCTCAGTACATAAAACATGTGGGAGAAGAAATTCAGTGTTGGGCTTTCATACCTCCATGCCCTTCCTCACTCTGATCCCTCTGCTTGGAATGCCTCTTTCCACTAGTTTACCTGGCTAATTGCTTACTGTGTATTCATGATACTCAGCAAAACCACCTCAACTCCTTTTACTGGATAAATATAGACTGTGTCTGGCAAAGATGAGCAAACAGAGAAAAATCAAAGATACGAAAACACAAAAAGAATCAGAATTTCGAAAGAAAGGGACATGATCAGAGAAAATTAGTATCCTTTGAAACTGTTTCCACAAATAGAAGAATTTAAAAAAAATATTTCTCATACATGTTTTCAATGGTATTTGGAGGATATTGCATTTATAAATGTAGTGGACTGAATCATTAAAAAAATTCAAAGCTGAGATCAGGAAACATTTTTGGATTGCTAAATTTGAAGCTCGGTAGAGACAGTGGACAGCAGATTGGGAACTGAAGAAAGCTGACTATGGGAATTAAAAGCTTGAGAATGTACCCTAGAATTCAGAGGAGAAAGGATAAAGGATTAAAACTGTGAGAGAAAAGATGAGCTGTGATGTCTACAGTGTGGAGATCTAATATTTGTTTAATAGAAATTCCACAAGGAGAGAGAGAGGGAAAAAGCAAAATATGTGGTAGAAGAAATTGTCTCTGGGGCCAGCCTGGTGGCATAGCGGTTAAGTTCATGCACTCTGCTTCAGCAGCCCAGGGTTTGCAGGTTCGAATCCCAGATGCAGACCGATGCACTGCTCATCAAGCCATCTGTGGCAGCATCCCATATACAAAATAGAGGGGCCGGCCCTGTGGCTTAGCGGTTGAGTGCGCGCGCTCCGCTGCTGGCGGCCCAGGTTCGGATCCCGGGCACACACCGACGCACTGCTTCTCCGGCCATGCTGAGGCCGCGTCCCATATACAGCAACTAGAAGGATGTGCAACTACGACATACAACTATCTACTGGGGCTTTGGGGAAAAAGAAAAAAAAAAATTAAAAAAAATCAAAATAGAGGAAGATGGGCACAGATGTTAGCTCAGAGCCAATCTTCCTCAAAAAAAAAAAAAGAAAGAAAGAAAGAAAAAAGAAAGAAATTGTCTCTGAACTGAAGACAGATTTGCATCTTCTACTCAGAATCCTAACTTTTCCAGTAAAATATGTTACCAAAAATCAACTTTAAAAAGACACAACATCTGAATGACCAATACCTGTGAAATTTTGTAGATTAACAAAGGAATTCTGTCCTGAGAGGCTCCATGCCTTGATAGTTACATGGATGACTTCTATCAAACTTTAAAGGAGAGAATGGTACTATACTTTAAAAAAAAATACTGCAGTGAAGAATAGAGTGTGCTGCATTTCATGTGAGAAAGAGGAGGATACAAGAAAATACGGTTGTATCTGCTCATTTGTGCAAAAAGACATACAGGAAGGATAAACAAGAAATTAATAAGATTGGTTACCCACAGGGAGTGGATGGGAATTGTGTGGAAAGAATAGGAGACTAGGAATGGGGATGGAAGGGATGGGAGAAACGGCAATTCTCTGAGTACGCCTTTTTGTATGGTTCTTACTTTCAGAACCATGAGTGTTTC